ACGTGACCTCATCGCAGACGAATGTTTGATTACGAATTACGAAAGTTCATATGATTTTAAGTACAATGAACCTTGTCTACCGTTCTAGGGCCCTTGCTTTCAAAAATGGCGGATGATTTAAAGAATGTTAGGCAAGTAACTTGAGAATCGGAACGGTAAATATATAGTGAAGAAGTTTTTTTTCAACTTGTTCAAAAATGTAGTATAAAAGATTGCTAACGCGAGCTACCAAGGGTAAATCTTTTACAATCAAAAAAGCCAGATTTTTCAAGATTTTGTTGTGTTTTACCTATAACACTTAAACGGTGCTTTGTAGCGAAAAACATATTATTTAAGGAATTAAAGAACGTTAAATTGTGCGTCAAATAAGTACCTAAACTTAATAATTTGGTTAAGTGGCACAATTGCTAAACACAGTCGACGAACGTTGAGTTTTACCAAATTTTTCAAAAACTGAGACAAATTATTATAAATGAAAAAAAAAAATCCGTAATACGAGAAAATATAGTAATTTATTTATTGTTTTTATTCGTTTATTTATTTTCATTTTTTTCTCCTGCCCTGCCTACCTAATCGTTAACCTTGGCGTGTTTTTTATGATTAATTAGTTCTTTTTTCAAACAAGCCGAAAGTGGTGTTGTGTAATATTATGTAATATTCCAGTCATTTCTTTCGTTTTATTTTTTTATGTTCAGTTATCTCATAACATATGTTTGTAAGCTTCGACTGACATATAATTTATAGAAGTATAATCAATTAGCTATGCACCACGGCTCCATCCCAATTAATATTCAATGCATACGACCGAAATAAAAATCGAACTAACCGTTCGCTTAATTAATCGTTACATTTTTTTTAATGAAATGATTAAGTACGCTTAATATAATAATTTTTCAGTGTGGCCAAATGTATCACTCACGGGATCTCATGCAATAATTTAAGGTTTCAAATTTAAAAATCGCACCAGCCGTTCACTCAAAACATCGTTACGAACATTTTGGCGAACATCTCGTAGTAAGTGGAATTTGTGTGATCCACGCTGCACCATATTTTATTCTTAAGTGGTTGATAAATAAATTATCTCCTCTTATTTTCTATGGATTACTTAAATTTTCCCTCCCATGTTTAGCCATATTCAGGAAATCGTAGAAAAGAAATGTTAGGGAAAAATCCGATATCACTATTCGAATTATTTGACTATGAATCGAGAAGTCGTTTCTACTTTTCATTCAAATAATTAAATACACAATATTTATATATTTTTTTTTACATTATTTTGCCCCTATGAGCTGTTTTATTTTACATATAAATTTATGTTTAATAATTTGGCCTGAATTGAAATATCTCCCAATTCTTAGGATTAGGTTTCTAATTTACTTTTAAACGCTTTTAAAGAAAACTATCTTATGGGACTTAACTTTTCAAAGCCAGATCCTCCTTTAGAAGAACAAGCTACTCCCGAAAGTTCTCCTAGCCCCCAGCTTTTGAAGTTTTTTCTTCAACTTCGGACGCAACTTTATTCTTAGGTTGCCTTGCTGCTCGTAAACTTTAAGACTTAAACTCTCAACTTGAAAGGGACAGAATAGTAAATAATCGAGACAAGCCTGTTCAAATCTCGCCTCCCTGATAGATTTATGTACCATTGTCTGATTAATGTATATTTCTATTCTAAACAGCTCTTTCTTTCTGTTGTTTTACATTGTTCACATTTATAAATTATATATAATTATTTTTTGTTCTCCTCTTTCTGGCCGTTTAGGGTATACGGGTTTTCCCGGGCCAGAGGAGAGAGCAGAGGATTAATACCAGTATTAAAAGCTCCCTCCCTCCGATAACGAAAGGGAATAATATACAAATTTCATTTAATTATAAAAATGAATGCATCTGTCAACAATACAACGTCTGTTAAATGAGGTTTATCAGAGATTAAATTAGTTTTAAATTTAATGGATTTATAAGAGGTGTTTTTATTAATTATTTTATTCAGTCCGCCATTCCACCTCCTTCAGTACCACATTCATGGTTCTGTAGTTACTGAGATTGAATGAATATATTCATTTGTTGAATATCTTTTGGTAAAACCTTATCGACAAGTCTTCATATAACAAAATATTATAATATTAAATGTAGTATTAATTGATGGTATACAGGCGATGGTTTGTCGGATTTTCTTGTTTCTGGTCCTTCGAATCGGAAGAAACACGTTACACTTTTGTACATACTTCATATAAATATTTTTTATATAAATTTTATGTTTCAATCTCGATCACCTGGTTATTAACAGTGAATTTCCCTCTCCCAAAAAGCCTTTCACCTCCTCCCTCATATCTCCTTCAAAATGTTAAATTGAATAAATGTTTATTCCATTGTTTCGTATCAGACTGGTTAGTGAAGATGTAAAGACAATTAAGGATGATAAAACATGAACAATTTTTTCAGGATCGGAAACTAGGTTTCCCGAAATTATTCTAGTTTCAAATTGCAGTAAATTTAATCTATTTTAAAAATGTTTTCATTATAATTTTATATGTTTGTGAAAATTTGCTCTTCATGTTTAATATGAGGAATAACTGAAAAAGTGCGAATATTTCGATATATCACAGTCATCGGACCCCTCCCCCTCTCCTAACAGCAAGACGCGGAGGAGAGGGAATAATATAAAAATTTCATTTAATTATTAAAATTAATGCATCTTTCAATAATATTATGTCTGTTAACTGAAGTTAATCAGAGATTAAATTAGTTTTAAATTTAATGAATTTATTGATTAAATGTTTATTCCATTGACTCGTATCAGACAGGTTATTGAAGATATAAAGGCAATTAAGGATGATAAAACATGAAAAATGTTATACATAAATATTTTCCAATTCGGAAACACTAGATTTGCCGAACTTATTCTAGTTTCGAATTGTAGTAAATTTAATCTATTTTAAAAATATTTTATTTTTTTTGCGAAAACGTGCTCATCTATGTTCAAAATAGGGAATAACCGAAAAAGTACGAATATTTCGATATATCACAGTTTTTGTGATATTCAAAAGTCATCCGGGGGTCCGCTGAAGTAGAAAATTTGGACTTTTCTCCTCAGTCATACTCCATTCAAGAAAATAAGAAATCTTTTACTACCACTTGTTTCAACTTACAATGTACATGGTTACTAGATTACATGTTAGTGAAGCTTTGATGTTAGGGTAATAATAATAATGCTTTATTTATTCTGAGACAAGTCTCTTTAGAATAATGTACAGATATAGAAATGTGGGCTTTGGAGCCTCAGAGAATAATTACAAAATAAGCTGATTTATATAATGAATAAATAAATGAAAACAATATTATTTACCTTCAATCTTCATTTAAAAAATAAAAAAATGAAATAAAGTAATCAAAACAAAGTAATTATTTATATACATATTTACAATTTTATGAGAACTGAAGGGATAAGAGGTGATAGAACAGGCTGGATTTAAAGGTGGGGAGGGTATTGGAGCGACGGATGTAGGATGGAATAGAATTCCACGAGGATGTGGATCGAATAATGAAAGATCTGTCGAAAGCAGCAGTTCAGTGGGATCTTATATACAAATCTGAAGACCGGGAACGAGTTTTGCGGGAGCGAATAGAGGATTTGAATTGAAGGAGCTCGGAGATGTATGAAGGACGGTGGGATTGGATGACTTGGAAGAGGAAGGATGCTAGAAAATACTTACGTCGGTAGGAAGGATAAAGACACTTCGGCTTATCATAATAACATGAAATACAGGCGTCTCTTGGAATCATGAAGATAAATCGTACAAATAAATTTAGTCAAACGTTTTAGTTTCGCCTCGAGATCCCTAGAGACGCCCCCATATACCGCACAGCAATAGTGGGGAAAAATTAAGGAAGTGACTAGGAGCCTACGGGTTTCGAAAGGAAATATGTGACGGGAATAATTTGGACGTTTTAGGGTGAAAATAGTAAGTAACGTACTACGTAGTAGTAGTTAACGTATCGGAGGCAGTGGAGACTTTATAAATAATGCTTTTATTCATAATGTTACAAATGACATCTAACATACAGAGTAATATACTATGGATATATGGTTTGACTACATGAGTTCACTCCAGGTCTCCTACAGTAAAGAGTGTGACTCAAGAATGCAACTGCATGAGTGGTTTGGTCTTGGAAGGATGGGGGTTATATGCTCAGGAATAGTAGGGGGGGATGAATCAATTCTGGTCGGTCTAGGAAGCGTGTGAATGAAGTTACCAACTATTAAGAATTTATATCCTTATCTTTTAGAATTGATATGAAGTCTGTGAGAAAGTGCTCTTTTGCTGAAAATGGTTATTGTTCCCTAAGTCTTGATAAGTGTCTTCTGTCCAGTCAGTACATTCTAGATAACTATTTCTAAGCTATCAGAGATAGCTTGACCTGGCTATCTAGGACTTTGTACTTTTATTTGAGAAAGTTCAATGCATGATTAAATGATTAAATTAAATAAAAGTTAATATTAATAGTTGTTACAGATTAAGTCCATTCCGGAACTATGGTGTTTCCGTACATGGTAGCGTGTAGTCTCATGCCTATGTTATTTTATTTATTATTTTTATTCCTTATCTGATTATAATATTTTTTTTTATTATGCTAGCTCGTCTGTTGATTCTTTTCGAATGTAATTAACAGGCGCGGATTGAAAAATATAAGTGTATCTTAGTTTAATTCATGCTTATATGTATATTTTCTTGGGTAAGCGGTAAAACAATGGGAAAGAAACTATACTGTTTTTTTTTCTTTTTTTTTTTTGTTAGTGTATTAAAATTCTCATCCTCTCACAAAATTCTTTCTAGATTTTTTCTGTCTTTTAGAAGAAAAGAAAACAGACCTTCATCTTATTGGAATATAATTGCATCGTACCCTTATCTCTGAGCATGCACTATCCCCTGCGCTACACAATCCCGTCGCCTTGAAGGTGCAACCGCAGCGAAGAGCCTTGCGCATACGCGATTGCAGGTGGAATGTGCGTTGGGCAAGAACGCAAGAGACGCCCAGAAGAGGTTGCATCGCCGCTAGGTCACGACCAGGTTTGCGGCACCTTCAGGTTCAAGGGACGTCCCATTGTAGCGTGTCCCCGCGTCACGGCAGCTTTTTCTTCTGTATTCGTTCCGTGTCGAAACCATTGTTTCTGTCGTCGGCTTTTCGTAAGCTGAGGCCTTCTGGTTTACCATATCTGTCGTCGAAGGGCGGGGAAATGTGCTGTTTTGAAATTATTTTTCTATTCAACCTCGGTCGAATATTGGATTTTTTATTCGAACTGGGTCTAATATATATTGGGAAGTATGTGTGTTTATTATTTTTTTAAAATAAAATGCAAAAGTATAAAAGAACTTTAATGGCTATATAACCCCCTTTTTGAGCAAATTGGTGAATAGCTTCATCTTATCATAACCTACAAAGTTTTTATCTACAATAATTCTCGTAAATAGTTTTCTCATTAAATTATATAGTTTAATGAATTACTAAAAACTTACCCATTTGTTTTCTACTTGAATCGTAAGATTAATTCCTGACGAAATCGAATGTTCACAACAAAAATATTGGACCGTTTGGCCTACATAACCTTCTGATTTTGACTTGTTATGGATGTGAGTCACGCCAAACGGCCCAATATTTTGTGATCAAATTATCTTACGATTCAAGTGGAAAGCAACTGGATGTTCGTGAATTTTTAGTACATAATTAAATAGATAAAATTTGCAGATCTCCAGATTTAAAATTCCCCAATATCGAGAAAGTTAATAAATAAGTTGTAGGTTACGATGAGATGAAGATATTCACGAAGTTTTAGGCGGGTGTTAATAATTTGATGAAAAAGGAGTATGTAACACGGACTACCTAGAAGAGGGGTAAGTGCATACTAGTTACTACTGAATAGAATTAACAATCTCTTAATGAATATACGTAATCGAACGTGTTCTTGAATATAATATTTAAAACATCATTTACTCAGGACAAAAAAAAATAACTTAAGAATTAAACCTATCAAACATAACATGATTGTCTTATGTTATAATCTTTATTTTCGTTACCCATATCTATAAGAATTACTGATTACTCAATTTCCTAGCGTTGCACTGAATACTTTCTCCGTGATAACCATCTCTGTCTTGAGTTTATTGTTTATAGTTCTATTTGAGGTGATCCTTCGTCCAGCTTCTTTTGAGTATCCGTCAGGCATTATCGTGCATATTGATTGTGGTCATGCCTTTAATTAGTAAGTCCATAAGTTTGTTTAAATTCTAATTTTATTTATTATTTTATTCCCATTTGCAACTACCCAGTACCGCATTTAGCTAATTTAATGTTACTGATAAGTGTTGTGATTTGTCTTTATAATGGCCTTGATTTTGATATCGGTGAAACTGGAGAGCCCTGGGTCGTTTTCTTTTCAATTTGCGTCGACCAGGTGATATGGAGTAGGAAATTAGAATGATTTTGGGTAGATAAATAAAGTATGGATATATGGAAAAAAAAACTTTATTCTGGAATAAAATCCCTTTAGAATAACAAAATGGTACAAAATAAAATATTTCATCTGGCCTCAATAAAAACAATAACATAATACCGAATTTTGATACGGAGGGAATTCCAGAAATTGACAGAACGAGCAATAAAGGAGTTTTGGAATGATAAAGTTCTGTGAGAAAGGATGTAACAGTCAGAAGATATTGTGGAAAGGGAATTGACTGAGGATTTGAATTGGAGAAGGTTGTAGGCGTAAGAAGGACGATGATTTGATAAACGTACCTAGGAAATATTGTCTTCGAAAGGAGGAGAAGAGCCACCTTAACTCAGTGTAGTGGTGAGATACAAGGGAGTATATCGGGGCTCACGTTACGAATCTTACTCAGCTATTTATGTAGTACATTAATTGTTAATATAAGATTCTAAGTTACATATTATGTGATTTGAAATAAATGGCGTGTTAGAAATTTATCGAAATTTTTTTCATTGAGTTATTGCTATATTTATTTGTACTTTTTAAGTTATTGTAAAATTAGCAGAGTGTTTGTACGAAGTAGTTAACTCTTGGTTTATGAATTGCTTAATTAAAGTAATTCTGTTGACCACCAAGAAGCTTTTTCCTTAAAGTTCTTGACTAAAAAATTTGTTGTGTACTCATATGGGTATATTTGGTTGTACCTTGTATATCTGTGCATATGACCAAATGCAGCTTAAATAAGTAAATAGACGTATACAATTTCTGTATATATTTTAATTTTCACGTCTTAAAAAGAGTGAGTAAATTATTAGTTTCACATGTCTCATGTCATTCTGTCAATTTTCCATCCATTGAAGAACTGCGTTTCATACCGAGCAGTGAAATTAATTTGTTGTGATTTGTTTTGTTTTTTAATAAACAGTTAATTAAAATCAAACTTTGTAAAATCTATTGGGCTCTTATCCAACATCTCCAAAAATAAGTTGTTATTGTACTTTTCTAGATTTTTTATTTTTTTTGTTGTTGGTTAAATATAAACGTTGATCTACACGACCTTGGTAGTCTTTTAGACAAACATATATTAAGAATTTACTTTTGTTATCTTTTTAAGGACTAAAATCACGAAGACTTAAGTGATCCAACAGCTTTAAGGACGCCAATCCCTCGATACCGTTCCTTAGAAGGTCATTCGTCAGATTAAGGACCAGTTGTCAACATCCTGCGTTTATTCTGGTAACAGTTGGGAAAAACGAAATTGACCTCAAGGATAGCAGCAAGGATATAAATAGATATGGAAGAGAAGAGATAAGGAGAGAGCGTATAAACAATGAGATTGGAGCAGGACTATAGGCCAGTTTAGAGGGAGTGGCTCTTGTATAAAAAGGTCCTTTTTATTTTTCCAGGACCTGGAGAGGTTGTCCTTCGACAGCCGGACCTCCTGTTGGCCCCTGGAGATCCGGCCTGCAGCAACAGGATCCTTTAGTCCGCCTGGTTCTTGGGCTCCTAAAACATCCTGCAATAACAAAACGCATTCAGCATAAATACATGCATTGAGAATAAATTTGAATACATTTTATAAACTGCCTTACCATTTCTGTTTCGAACCAATTTATCTCGCATTTCAAAACACACTCTTTAAACATTCACTAACTTGGGTATAGTTGAACGCTCATAGTATGCTTGGATTCATATATGCACGAGAGTTTAGAATAACATAAACCATGCAATGAATTCTAATCAAATATTAATGTTCACGATAAAATGTGTCTCTTTTACTGTTAAAACGTGCTATATTTAAGAATACTTGAATTCTTTTTTCCTCATAATAACCTTTTTACTTAGACGATTTCCGTTTGGAAAATAGATCTGTAAATCCCGCCGATTTTGCAGAAACTTTGCCTCTACCCGGTAGGTTCATAGGATTTTTTTTTTTCATTCAGATTTTCAATATTATATTCTAGAATCCCACCATTTTCAAGAAATGCATGAGGATTTCCACATCTCTCTCCGTATCCTGCACGGGCGGATCTACGGGTGAGGAGGCTTTGGGGCTGAAGCTCTTCCCTCCAAAATGGTAAAATATAACCATTTGCGGAAAAAAAAATTACAAAATTATCACTTAAAGTATTATAGTTCGTGTAATTGCATATAAAAGGACTTTAGGAATCGCTCAAACACCATTTTATAAAGGTAGTTAGTTTCTATCTTTTTTTCCAAAGTAATTATCGTTATTTTTATGGAAAAAAACTTTCGGGCTGAAGCCCCCCCCCCCTCCCAAAATTAAATCCTAGATCCGCTAGTGGTATCCTGCAACATTTCCTGGCCAGTTCTGTATATGTTAAGGTTCTACCTTGTGGCTGCATAGTGTTTGTTTACAGTCCACAGGTATGTGATTCACGGTTATAGGGGAACCACATCTGACGCAGGTAGGTGGTTCTCGACCGTGGAGAAGGTAGCCATGCGAAAATTCGCAGTGACCAATTCGGAGCGGCACAGGATTTCCTCCTTCAGGATCGGAGCCTCTTTTCTTGATTTCCTGTTACTACTGCACCATTTAGCGCTGTTTGATTCTATCTGGTGTAGTTTGGAGAGATTTCTTCTCCAGACCTCATTCCATCCAGGCCTCACTCAGTCCTATCGAGGAACTTAATTAATGTTTTTCACCTCATTATTGTCATTAGTTCAGGCTGTTCGGAATGCGACATCTGCCTTTTCATTGCCTTGCATACCACAATGAGTCGGAGCTCAAATTAAATCTGTTACATTCTCTACCATTTTCCTAACCCAAATAAGTTCTAAAATTTCAATTTCGTCGTGTGTTTCGATATATGGTTTCTAATTTCTGGAAGTACTCTCATTAAAAGAAATACAGTAACTGTTTTTTGTGGCTGCCTGGTTGGCTATGTTGAAGGATTTCCTTTATGGTAGTTCTCTCAAGTCTAATAATGCTAATAATAGTTGGGTCAATCTACGTAACTTACCGAAGTCACTCGAAACATTTTGACTTATCTTCATCCTCTAATGTTCGCCAGGAGCGAGAAATCGAAGAATTTACCGCTCCCAAAACGACAAGCATTTAAAATCGCTTAATCTGATTCTTGGCGTGGAGGATGGCGGTTGAACTTGGAACATGAAACGACCCTCTGACTGTTCTGCTCTGGATCGATTTTTTCAATGTCGATTTCGTTCTCCCCTTCATCTACTGGAACTAGTGTTGCCTAAATGCGAGACCGAGGCGAGTCTTGGTCTTGCAAACTCAGTCTTGGCCATGGTCTTGGTCTTGGGCGCAAGAGTCTCGCAACAGTCTTGTAGTTACTTATTAGCTTATTACTGTAGAGATGTTATTGCAATTTTTGAGATAGCATAAATCTAACTAAGCCCGAATGAAAAATTAAAGGAGTTAAATGCAAAAGGATATTGATCATAACAATTATTAACATATAGTAACTAAGATTGTCAAGTATTAGTAACTATTTTGTCTTAATTTTTATTTTAGAAAATCGATTTTTTTTACCAGTCCTTGTCTTGGTCTTGCAACAGTTAGGTGGGCTGGGTCCTGGGAAGACCAAGACCGATTTTGGGCAACTTACTGGAACTAATGGAGTATCATTTTAATACAAGGTAATTGGATTAATTTGATCAGGCATTTGTTGAGGGGTCAACATTCTCTGTTTGTGTTAACTGGATGAAGAAGAATGACATCAGTCAATATGAGACCTTCGATTTTTACAGATTGATATTTTTTATAGGATCATACTTAAGCATTAAGTAATTTCGATGACGAATAGTAAATTTCAAATATTTTCCATTAAAAATATTAAATTTCGCTTTCCTTACAACAAAAGTTAGAAAGGGAAATTTGTAAATACACGCACAAATATACCTTAATTTAAAAAACAATTGTGTACAAAGAATCGATGTTTTTGAGAACAAGGATAAAATTTGGTTCCATATCTGTTATCAAATTCATGTGACGAACACATCACCGTTAATCCTATTTATCATTTAGGAATTAATTATTTATAGTACTTGCTAAACCCGGCCACGCGTTGTTGTGGCTCAATCTGATTGAATAAAAAAAGTAAATAAAAAAACAAGCAGATGTTTCTAATATATATTCTATTTCATAATATGTGGATATACTATATTTTTTGTTATTCCATTCTTTAGATAGATACAGAGATTGTCTGGTTTTCCTACTCTAGAGCACGCAACATATAATTGTCCACGTGAGAAAAAAAAATCGGAAAAATCGTCGAAGAAAAAGTAATAAATATTTTAAACATTATATCTCTGCACCAAATCGTCTGATATTCGTGTTTTTTTTTTAATTTACAGAGAATTCAGGAAGCTTTCAAATAATCATGGGTATAATCCATCATATAAACATTTTTTTCATACTCTTTTTGAGGAAGGATGTTATCTACATAAATTAAAAGAGCTTCAAGGAGAAGACTTTAGCCAAGTTTAATTATAATCGTTATAGCGAGCGCTACAGTCTATAGCGACACACATTTTCCGGTCTTCTTTTCGAAATGGAAGGACGGATGTTAATTAAATTTATATAAAAACAATCTTGAATCCGATAGAAACATTATGTCAAAATTTTAATACAATTCGATAGGTGAAAAACCAAAAAAAGGTCGAAGAAATATTTTTTCTTTTGGCTGCAAAAAGTTTTCCCCTGATGGCCAGCGTTAGCAATTTTGTTTTTTACATGTTCAAACCCATATTTAAAAGTTAAAAAATGAAAACTTTTCTCACATTTTTCACAATATATTTCCTTGTCGATCTTCAAGTTTCTTATATTCTTTAAATCAGCCGCCATTTTTGAAAGTTGCGGTTCTGGAACTGCAGACAAAGTTCATTTTACTTAGAATAACATACAATTTCCTAATTTACATTCAAAACTTCGTCTGCGATGAGGTTACGTTTTGGGCCCTGGCTCCGAGGCTATTATTGATTACTGTTTCTTTTAACTTTCTTTAGAAGGGTGATAAAATATTTTTAACGAAAATAATCTATGATTTTATGAAAAACTGAGTTCCTTTTAATCGCATTAACAGAGGCAAGCTATACTTGCCTTTCAAGTAAATTTTGACTGATTTTCCATGGAACAATTGTTAATCACCCAAACATTATTATTCTTTTAGTTATCGTTCTTTACTTAAAAATAAAAGAAATGAGATTTAAAATTAAATTTCTAGCTTTGGTGCTCTTCTAAACCATCAAATTCCTTTCCCCTCACCATCAATCCCTTCAATCTAAAATCCTTCGTAAAATTCTCAATGCTCCCTACTTTGTCACAAATAAAATCATCCATAATGACCTTAATTTACCATATGTTTCCAATTTAGCTCAATCTAGATACCCGTCCTTTCATAATAAACTTCTGAACCATCCGAACCCTCTTGTTTCCAACCTTGCTTCCTATTCTATTCCTGATAACCCTCCGAGGCGTCAGAAAAGAAGATGGCCTCGGGACATTCTAATATAGAAATATAATTGGAGTGCTACCAATGGGTAGTTTCTCTTCATGTTGTACATGTCATGTTACTTGTTCATATTTACACGTGTACTTATTATTTAATACAGTTGTAAATTTCTTTAATAAAAAAATAAATCAAAATTAAATTTCAAGTTATTTGCCTTATATTGTTTAAATCACCCTCCATTTTTGAAAGCAGTGGCTCTGGAATGGCAAACAAAGTTCATTCTACTTAAATTAACATTCACTTTCGTGATTTACATTCAAACCTTTTTCTACAATGAGTTCACTTTTTGGCTCCATTGCTATTAGATTTCGATCATTGTCTTAAGTATGATTTTGGAGTCGACTAATGAAGGTATTTCTGAAGAGAATTTGTCCTTGAGGCTCTTGAAGAGAAATAAAGAGTCCCTGGAACAATTTTTTTCCAGGTCCCCATCAAGTATAAAATTCGCCACTGTAATTGTGTTCATGATCTATATTTTAAAATATATATATTAGGCATATTTTCTAAATTTCATTCAAATTCTTAACATTTCTACTGAAATCACACACTAAATGGTTGCGTGTTGGTAGTGTGGTCATGACGTGAGTCAGTCTGAAAGGCTTCAGCATGGGAATTAGTTCGATTGTCTAGTCTATTTGTCTCAGCCTTCGGTAATCCCAATGACGCCGCCGTCTCTCTTCAGTTTACTCGTCTATAAGAAAATAGCTCTACTTCTTAAATGGAATGTGTGGAAAATGCGTTTGCCAAGTAGGATCGGTATAGCTTCATCATCGTTTCTATTGAGTACATGCAATCTATAGTTCAAGGCCAAGGGTCCATACGTCAAACCTCGTCCATAAACTCCTGTTCCAACACCTCCTACAAATTCAAACTTCGGCAAGCTTATAAAAATTTCTGGGTTATATAATTATGTTGATCACCAGCAGTTATTTGATAGAAGTAATTTTATTTTTATTTATTCCTTTTTTTTATATCTCAGTATTTATTGTATACTAGTTGACCCGTGCGAAAAATTCGCACAGCTTATTGTTATCAAATGCCAAATTAATAAGAAAATGCAACTTATCAAAAGATTAAGATATCAAATGTTACTTTAACGATAAATATAATCCACAAAGCAAACCAAAATTAATTTAAATCTTCATTTTTGTTTGGAACCAACATGTATACACATTTCAGTAAGCTGTAAATTTGCTAAAAATTGTCCGATTGCAGTGATTTTTTTTTTCCTTTTGTAGGGAATTTAGTAATCTTGTATATAATTAAGGGCATAACCAAGGGAAAAGTGTGTAATTTTGCAGTTAAGTCGACGAAATGAGACATGTATTCAATGACAGTACTACAATTAATGTAAGGCTTTGTGGATGCGAACCCTATGCCTTGCGTTATCTCGAAAATAGTACGTTTTTCGGCATAAAAACGCAGGATTCCGAAGGAACTATCCGGGTCTTGGTGTACGCATCAAAATCTTTAAGATCCAATTTGTCCCGTATCGATCTACAGATCTACCACCGTTCCAATATTGAAGCCTAGCAAAATGTTTGTATCGACTTTATTTATTTTAGAAAGAAAAACAAAAGTGGAGAATACGATTCGCTAACCCCCCGTGAAATTCTGAATCCAACGGTACCCCATTCGTGGTATTTGAGCATCACAGGAGCTTATATTTGGTACCAAACCGATTTCGAGCCTTACTGTAGTAATATATGTACGGATCTGTTATCGTTAGTATGTATTGTAGATATTTATATTTTCCTTGGTATTTTTTTTTATATATTTGTATTTTCCTTAGTATCATTGTGTGTATGTATATCTATCTATATATATATCTGTGTGTGTGTGTGTGTGTATTTACAATTTCCTGAGCATTTTTGTATATATTTGTTTGATACTTACATGCCAGAGTAATATTTTAAACTCTACTATTATTCTAAGAGGACTTCAGTCCCAGAATAAAATTATTTTTCATTTAAATAAAAAAAAGGATTTGTCGCTTGGAAATAAAATGTATTCAATAGCCGGATTTTGAACTACAGTCTTATCAAGAAAATACATTATTGTTTTTTTACCTTCAATATTTCCTTTATTATTCCATTAAAATATTTTGAAGATCGAATGTTTAATTTAGTAGTCAAATTCTATTTGAAATGAAAGCTTAAAGTGCGGATTTTTGATTTTACTTTTTTCTTTTCGTCAAGGAAGAAATGCTTCACAATCACACCAAAAGTTGTGAGCTGTTTACGGGTCTGAAGAAAGTATCACTATTGGTTTTCGAAATTTGGTACGGTAGATTTTTAGCTGAAAGATGATCAACTTTATAGCCGACCAAATGAAGTTGAATATAACCAAATCATAGTTTTATCAACAAAGATCGTCATATCTCTACTAGTGAGATCGTAGAGAAGCTCGGTGTATCACGTACGTGCATTGAAAAGCGTAATCTATTATTGTTAATCTATCTAAATCTATTAAAGTCATCTACTCGTAAAATTCGCAATTATTTAGTTGAAAACGATCAGATAATTGCTACACAAATCCTCTTCTAAATTGTAAACGTTTGCATGGATGTAAACGGAAATTATGAAAGGAATTCAGTAAAATTATTACTGAATCTTTTTTTACTTATTCCCAAGTTTTCTCCAAATTTGAGCCAAATCAGGCGTGTCGTTTTTGAAGTATATAGCTCTTTCAAGGAAAATACATTTACGCATGCTTGAACGTAGAAATATATTTTTTATTAATGATATTTACAGCTGTATTAAAGAAATACATTTAGTAAATTTGAACATATGGATATAATGACGATTTTTATCAACAAAATCATATACTCAACTTACTGATCATTTTCAGAAATATTTGGGAGTTTTTCAATGTTTTTATATTTATAGATATATTTTCGTTATCTTGTGCAATCATTCTATCATTTTAAATTTAACTTTTGATTATCCGAACATGCAATCTACATGTTTGGATTATTAAGACTGTCCTGTATTGTGCTTTGAGTTTGAGGAAAACTTGAAGGATTTTCGCATATCGCTATTTGGTTTGCAATTTTTATTGAACAGCTAAATAGATAACATAGCTTTAAAAACTAAATAACTCGCTTTGATTGGCCGGAACAAACAAATCGATTTTTCAACCAGATAACGGATCGTCAGATCATTCGGGTTTGATCCTTTTTAAATTCGTAGAAATAGGAGATCGTCATTACTCAAATATAGTCGTGATGATATTTTTCTGAAGAAATCGTGCTTTTTAAAGCCATTTTTATCTTCGGTTATATGAAAACTCGGTGTTTTCCAATTGGAAACAAATAGTACCCGAGGCGATTCGAATTTTATTTGATTTATTTTAAGAAAACATTTAGTCATGCAGCGTTGTAATGTCTATTCTTTGCATTTCATTTCCAGCACTCTGTCAGTTCAAAGCGAGGGCATTTCAAAATGGCGCGTCCATTGAAATAGTAAGAGGGCCATTTAAAAAAGTTGACATTATCTAAATAAAATTGTCGGAAACATTTTTCAAAGCAAATGAAGGCTTCTTTAGGTGCGTTTTGTACTTTTTTGTGGAGAGTAAATTAGATTGAGCCGTCAGATCTCCGATATGAAACGCTCGGGTTATATCTGCTGAAGTCGGCTAATTAAAGTATTTTTTCATATGGATTAAAATATCTTAAAAAAATAAAAATCGGATCTGCATACTGTAAGCGAGGGAAATGTTCATCATTTCATCCTATTTATAATAATCTATTATTTATAATTTGCATTTCATATTATTAATCTCGTCTTATTGAAATTTTCATTTCTATCGTGTGGTCTAAAGCACACACCTCAGTTTATTTATTTTTTTTTAATACCTGACTATCTAAAAAAAAGCTGTTGATTTAAAGAATATTAGGCCAATCTTTGTTTTTTTGTTTCTTAACCTATAACTTCAAACGGTGCATCAAAGAAATTAAATAACGTTAAATTGTGCGTCTAACAAGTACCTAAACTTAATGATTTGGTTAAGTGATATGGTCGATAGCCAGGGTCGAAAAACTCTGATTTTTACCAAATTTTTCAAAAACTAAAGCACCTTCGGAGTGTCCAAACAATCAGAATAAGTGTTGATATATAATAAGGCCTCCTTCTGCTGATCGATCTAAAAAGATTTATTAAAATTTCGTTCGGTTAGTAATATTTAGTGTTGCCCAAAATCGGTCTTGGTCTTGCACTTTGCAAGACCAAGACCAAGGTTTCTTAACTGTTGCAATACCAGAGCTGGTAAAAAAAATCAATTTTTTAAATAAAAGTTAAGGTAAAATAGTTACTAATACTTGACAATCTTAGTTACTATATGTTAATAATTGGTATAACCACTATACTTTTGCATTAACTCGTCTAATTATTTATTCCGCCTTAGTTATGTTTCTCCTATCTAAAAAATTACAGTAATATCTCTATAGTAATAAGTTAATAAGTTACTGCAAGACCAAGACCATGACCAATACTAAGTTTGCAAGACCAAGACTCGTCTCGGTCTTGCATTTGGGCAACACTAATAATATTGTAATTGCACCTTTTAGTAGAGGTATTGAAAGTAAAAGTAATAGGGTTATAATTATAACAGATCAAACAAATAATGGCCCTGTTGTTTGGGAATGAATTTCTTGATAGAGAAAATTCATAAAGCGGAAGTAATAGAGCATCAAATTCCGCGTCACTTTTAGTTTCAACTGTTTTAATGTAGGTCACTTACTCCTATTGAAATCAATTATTTCCTGATGGCTGCTTAATTCACAGTTGTCTCATTCATTACAGGTGTAAATGAAGATTTACAGGAAAAAACAAAATATTGTATGAAGGGTAGTAAGTGAAAGTTGTGTGATGCATAGCATTTATTATTATTCCAAATACATTAATTGAACTAATATTTTTCTCAAAAGTGTTGGATCCAAAATATATTTTATTAAGCAGTAAGATAATAATCATCAGCAACTTATGTATGTACCACTGTAAGTGTCTACATATCATCAGATATCTTGATATTATTGAAAAAAATAAATAAATAAAGACAAAATATCTTATGTATCCATCTTGCGTATACTTCCGTAACAGACGTTATCCATGCCCTCGATCCAGCTGGCTGTAGGCAGATGTTCCTCAAGATCCTGGGCTAAGACCCCAGCCTCGTGCATTGTACAGCCGTCACGTTATGCGGAGGTAACCCTCATCTGTTGCGCGAGCCACGTGGCTTATTGAGTGAGTCGCAGTCAGCCCACAATGACCATATAACCGCCTTCGGGTCTTAGCAGATGTCTTGTAGGTTATATAGGCGGTCCGAGCCATAGCTGCGCAAAATAACGGTGAAATAGATCGTTCTTAAAGTATGACTATTATAGCAATTGAGGCATTAAACATTTTGTCCTCAACTACAAAAGTAACTTCACAATAACCCCACTGAATCAAAATTATTAGGGACTTAATTTCTACATAAAATGGCATAAACCGACCTCCTTGAGCAAATATGAACCAAAGATAGAACATGAAAATGTTTGAGAAGTTTTTTTTCTAGTTTAATAAGGAATCTGTTTTTTAATATTTTTCAAATTCCATCAGAACCTTATAAATCATGCAAATCCCCTTGCACAACCCCTATCTAGTTCCACTCATCTTTACAATCCTCCTCGAAATTAGAAGCGGCAGTGGCCCAGAGATCTTTTGTAGTATTTATCTTGGAGTTCTGGCAATGACCAGTTTCTCCACTCAATACATGGCTAAAGCGCTCTCGCTCAAACTCCACTGACTTTAGCACAAGTGACGCGGTTGAGAGAGTAGCGCAGGGATTATTATTTTAATTTTGCTAATTTTATATTTTCTGTATATATGGTGTAAGTGTGTTCATATATCACTATAATATATGGTCCACGTGACAGATTGTTATAATTCTAAATAAATAAAATCTTTCAATATTAATATGGGCCTGTCGAGGACTGTTAACAATCAGCTGATGGTCTGGTTACAGTAACGAAACTGACATGTCAGGCATGGGAAAGGGTAGTACCCAGAAGTACCTCTTCTCTTGCTTGAATCAATTACAATGATCTGTAAAGAAGGAAGGAGGTCTTTTATTCAGCTCCTTTTTAGTCTCATCCACGTATCGATGGGCATGTCAGCTGAAACCATATCTTTGATTAGTATATTAGTATGTCCGTGTAAATTATTGTGAAATCGTTTGTAAAGAGTTCTTATTTACTGGTCAACTGTAGGCAGGAGGAAGTCGGTATGTAAGGTTTTGTTAGTCACGTACCAAGGCGCTTTAGCATATAAGTCGTAACATTTTTGAATGAAAAGTTTGAAGTTTGTGTAATTCGTTTTAGTTCTACCGTATTGAGAAGTAAATCCATATAGGTTTAAGTAAGTATAGGCATGTATTGAGTTTCTGTCCAAGTTCTAGTTTTGAAGATTTGGAAAAAAGTGAGAAAGTAGTTTGAGTGGTATATTGAGGGTCTTCCGTTTAATTTTGACAAGTAGGCTAAAAAACGAAAAATCGGAATTAAATCCAAAATGTGGTTTGTAAGAGCAGTAATTTAGCTTTCCAAAGGTTGTATTAATGTAGAATTTAAAGAAAATACTAAAAAAATTATAAATGCTTTAGTTAACGGCTGGAAAAATAATCTTAGAATACCAAGTTTAATTAAATTTGTTATATCTATAAAAATTTGTATTTATGAGTTTTAAATAGCACTAAAAACGAATGCAACTTTCTTTTTCAAAAGAAAAATTGACATGGCCTTATTTTATTTTATAGAAGCGTCTGTTGGTTCTTGTTGTTTAAGACACACTATAACTCATTTAATACCATGATCTATATATTTTCGTATTTTGTAGAATAAAAAAAATCAATTGGTATATAATTACCTAAAATCCGGGCAAAACAAAGGCAAAAACTATAACATAAATTTTGTTTGAAATCATATAAAATATTTGTTTCGGCTCCTAAGCAAGAACCCTCGGTATATTTTTCCACCTAGTATCATTAAATTGTCATCCTACCTCACTATAACCAATGTCCAACAGACAGATTGTTATAATACTCAATAAAGAAATTTAAAAAAAAAAGTATCATTAAAAAAAAGTTTTATTGGACTCGGTAACCTCACATCCGCAACTTTCTCTTTTTAGTACCAAATCGAACTTTTAAAATAAATATTAAATTTATGTTTAATTGATAAATATTATTTGTAAGCAATGAGATCGTCGTCATTACAACTGTGGATGCAAGGGACAAGTTCTGAAACTCAGCTCTGAGCTCTTCGATGTGCATCGGAAATCCATCTGGCCGTTTCTAAACTCATCAATAATTCCGTAATTGTAATTCAATACATTCCCTTATTTGTTGTGTGAGTCACCGATAGTTCTGCAGTTCCATCTGCTTACTGATCGATAACTGGTCAGCATGTGTCTCGTCGAAGTGAGAACGTTAGGTTTTGTCATTTGTCATGATTTAATTTCATTTTCCAGAGTGTTTACTATTTTTGCAAAGGTAGTAAATGATGTTTTACTTTATCTAAAAAAGTTTATGAATCTGTAACTTTGTCGTAAATTAGGTAGAGAAGGATGAAAAAATATAATGTTAATAAATAATCTTTATCGAGTTATAAACATTCGCTCGAGTAAGTGATATTAAAATATTTAAAGGAAATGACAGTACAGCTTTTGGAGCTGAGACGTTTGATATGAACGACAGCTCAATTATCTGCCAACATATTTAACATGAGAAAAGATATGATATGGCAGAAGATATGATATGGAGTGGAATGATGGTTTGGTTCGGCTTAATATATGTTTTGGTAATATTATTATTCGATTTAAAAAAATTAAAACATACATTCTGTTTGAGAATTTATAACGTACCTGTAGCTAATTGCAGGCAGTTATACCCCACCTAAATATTTAATAGAGCTCGTCCTCTCTAATGAGCAGGAGGTCCATAGATAATTATACCCCTTCAGAGTTAATGTCATTATTGTTTTAGTTCGCGTTATATATACGCATTATTGACGTTTGAAGTTCCTAAATTTTGAAAATAACTAATTCAAAAAAGTAATAGTTTCGAAAATTATGCAGACAACTCTAAAAGAACAAATATGCCTTTCATCTTCAAAAATAGCTGAGCAGTATCTTTAGCTAATGTTTAGTGTAAAAAAAATTTATCGTTTTTCACAATTCTTATTTTTTATGCTAGTAGTATTGCGATCAGATCACATTTCCGATATGCTGTTTTTGACGGATCTTTACGTTTCAGAGCCTCCTGAGTCCGAAAAACACATTTTTAGCCTTTGGTTTGTGTGTCTGTCTGTCTGTTCCAGATTTTTTCAGGAACAACTGAACCGCCTTTGTTGCTTCTTCTTTTATTGTGTAGGATTTTAACTACTGATGCCTGTGACAGAATTGAAAACAAAGGTATTGAAATTCCTTACAAAACTATATAAAAATCGTTCATTTTGGACAACTATTAACGAAGTTACAGCTATTCAATTTCCAATGTAAGATTACTGGTTCATTCCTGGTATCAGAAAGGGTTGAATGAGAGAATTGATATGACTAAGTGAAAGTAAGAAAATCTGTTGCCCGGATCACACAAGTTCAATATTTCCTCTACTCTTTACGGAAATTATTCTTTGACAAAATTAAGCTATGACAAAAAGTTTTTGATCAGCAATATTAGATGGTATTGAAATTTTTACACTGATCTACTTTAAACCAGTTTACATTGCTTTAGTTTATGAAATAAATCTTACTCAAATATTTTCTTTGATCAATTTTCAGGAAAATAAATCTAATTAATATATTTTTTTTTTTTTTATTTCTTGTTGGACATATGTAAAGATATAAAAACTTTTCTGAAATAGGTAGAAAAGTCGTGTGGCTGGGCACACCAGATTTTATGTAATTATAATTGCATAAAATCATAGTTTTTACTGTGTTTTTTTTTCTATGTGTAAATAGTAATTAGAGAAATATCTTTCTTTTTAAAATAATAATTTGTTCTCTTGAAAAGGTGACAATTAACTTCGAGTAAGGCAAAATAATAACCTACTCCAGCTGCTACGTAATAAGGAAGATGGGCGATATTATTTTATTGTTTGAGTGTTGTTATAGCGCCCTTTGTTAATTGAAGAGACATTCCTACTATCCTTATTAATTAGCATTTCTTTTCCAAATTAATTAAATAAATTATTAATTAGTCTGGATTCTTGAGAATTTATAATATAATCAATGAGGATTTACTCCAAAGGGAATCGATGTTGTTTTTTTTTAATTGTCTAAATCATCTTATTTGTTTATTTAATAATGTGTTATTATATTATAAGAGAAATATATATATCGTTGGCACCATGGCAAAGAAAAGAACGTGCAAAGTTAAACAGGATCATATTCCGTTACATTAACATGGCGCCGACGTTCCGTGTTTCCCCTTGTCCTTTAGTCTGAAAGTTTTCATTCTGAAAATTCATAACCCCGTCGAAATGTGTCCCCATCAGAAATTCAATAACTCGTCAAAATATGACCCCCCTTCCCTCACAAACTTTGAGGCCTCAACTTGTGCCATGAAACTCCCTTCTGAGCACCCCTGCTTATATCCTCTTCTTAAAAACTGTGCAAAGTAGAATTTAAAAAAAATTGTACATAATATATCAACAATTACACTTTATGTGGTCTCTACTAGGTTTTCCCCTTGTTCCTTAGTTCCAGAGTTCTCGAAATGGAAACCCAAAAAAATACAGTCCCCTCCAAAAATCCATGCCCCCGTAATGTGGTGTCCCCTTTGCATAATTAAACCCCCTAAATTAGTTTTCACCTCAACAATTTTGATGGCGCAATTTCGGTGATTTAACTCCCTTTTGGGTATATCTGTTTATATAGATATTTAAATAGATACATAACATATACCAATGACACATGTATCCTTTCAGTTAATAGCGATCCATCATTAGCAACCCAAACTCTTCAATCACATATCACAAACCTCGAAGAATGGTGTCAAAACTGGAGGATTAAAATAAATTTCATTAAAACCCATTAAATCATTCCATTTACCCTTAGTCGTAAACCTATGACCTCCTGTCCTACAGTATCCTTTAAACACCCAACTTATCCCTGTGGAACAAATCCGTTACCTGGGACTCTACCTGGACAAACGTCTAACTTGGGATCCTCATACGAGACTGAAACGACAAGAAACAGCTCGACGTTTCCGTTTTTACTCCAACACTTGACTAACGATCTAAGCTTCCAATTAATTACAAAAGACTCATATTCATGACTGCAATAAGACCTATTTTGACTTAACGTGTAGAGCTATGGGGCTCCATTAAACATTCGTATTCCTCTCGATTCCAATCCCTACAATCCAAAATCCTTCGTAAAATCCTCAATGCTCCTTACTTTGTCACAAAATAATCCATAAAGACCTTAATGTTCCTTATGTTTCCGATTTGGCCCAATCCAAATACCTATCCTTCCATAATAAACTTCATAGCCATCGGAATCCTCTTGTTTCTAATCCTGCTTCCTCTTCAATTCCTGCTAATGCTCCGAGGCGTCTGAAAAAATGATGGCCGCGTTATCTCCTTTTGTAGACATATTATTAGAGTGCTACCAGTGAGTAGTTTCTCACTAGGTGTTTTCATGTGATTACATTTCTGTGTACATATTTGCTTGATGTATTTATATTAATACAGTTGTAAATATCTATATAAATAAAATTAAAAAATATATATATATATATATATATATATATATATATATATATATACATTTAGATCTTTTTCGCCAAAGAAGGACCAAAGCGGATGGCAAAACACAAGAGCCATTTCATATGAAGTTCTTTCTGTTTGTTGAACATTAGCAATGTTCATCTTGAACTTCTTGTGCGGGTTAGTTCTTACCGAAGAAGACGTCGAAAGAAGTTGAAGATGAGCGGCAGAAGGACCGTTGTCGGCGTTGCGTAATGTCGGTGGTGTAGCCGTTAGGGTGGGGCGGCCTTGACATTTGACCAGGACCGGTCCTCAAGGCTGCTGGAGCTGCAAGGACGAACTGGAGTCTTCGAAGGATCGCTCCAGCTCCTGGTTTTTTTCCAGGACGGCCCCAATCTCATCCTTAGGAATATTACTTGTTAGAAGTTATAACAATCCCAGTTCTTTATCCAAACAATGTCACATTAAGCTGATGTACTCATCGTTGACGGGTTTATAGTTAAAATTCGAGAATCTTTTTTTGAGATGGATATGGGGGAGTAATTTCGATTTTGAGTTTTTCTTCCGATTCCTGGCTAATCCGTTTGGTTAATTCTAAAAATATATACAACATTTATTAGGCTCGGTAAGGTGAATGAAATGACACCTTGAACGGAAAGATCGTACAAAGTTGAAAAATGAGTGTGTTTTACCCGAGTTTAAAGCGACAACCCATTACAGATGTTCCGGATTTTAGATTTTTCTCGTTGAGTTGTGATAATTTTTTCCATCAGTTGAATAGTACAACTTTTAAATGTGGCTCGTGGTAAAGTAGGTTGCAATGAGAATCGAAGTAACTGTCTAACAGCGACTTCTAGACAAATTACTCAAGAATTCATACTTCTACTCTATATTTTTTTTTAATTTAAAGCCTACGTTTTAAATCAAACAAACCTAAATATAATATCAAAATTTCAAAAGTCTACCATTAGCCACTGCTGAGCTTACTCCCAAAATTTGGTTGGACAATGCGGACATAAAGACAAAACTTTTTTTAAAAGTGGATTTAGCTTCTGTAATGTATGAGACGGAAAGATATCATGAAACCGGTTGATTCTATTCAAGTACAGACAAAACCTTTATTTTATTTATATAGATTATTTCTGTCAAACTTAAGTAAAGTCTAATATTTATTATTAATTGAAAACTGTTCGAAAAGGTTCATTATAGTTCTAAAGCCGGTTCGAAATTGTTTATAAGTCACACAGTTAAAATATCCATCAGCATTCTAGTCAACCAGCTCAAAACGAAAGCGTTGTTTGTTTGATTGGGTTTAAAAACGTAAAATCCTAAGGTCATCAACACCGAAGTTTCATTTATTGCTGTTCTCTGGAGTTCATGAACTCCTTAGAGAGAAAAACAAAATTAAAGTATGTGCTTTAGACCACACGATATTAGTGAAAACAGATTAATAATATAAAATGTAAGTTATTAGATCCTAAGAAAAAGGAGAACTTTAAGATCCTAAGTGTCTAACAGAGAAGTTTATATCTATAATAATTAGCGTGATACAAGCCAAAAAATAACAGAATTTTCTTAGCTATGTCGATCACTGGCGGGTTTACTCTTTTTGTTGCTAGAAACTCTGTGAGGCGTAGATATGTCTGAGTAGATATGTGTATGTATTTAATTTTTGTTTAAGTTTTAGTTTTGATTTGGAAAAATTGATTATAATATTTTCTGTGCCTTGTTTAAAGTACTTCGTTTCATTTTGACAAGTCTGCTCAGCTTATTTAATTACATTTTAATTATTTAAGTTTTTATTATGGTGATGAATGTTAACATATTTACAGTTAACAGATATATGGCAGATGGATGGCTATTCATACAGAATAATAGTTCTGTATAAAGATGATTAAATGCGGAATAATTCTCTTACTTTCAGCATGCAGATCCAATTTTTAGTTTCTGAGATATTTTATAAAACTCGTTATCATTTGGTTTCGACTCTATTTTTCCCTTTTCGCCTCTCTAACATGACGTCTCGTTATGATACAATTTTTCATTATAGAGAGGATGAAATGCTGAACAATTCTCTCGCTTACAATACGCAGGTCCGATTTCAGTATAATGCATATGCAAAAACACAATTAGTCGACTATAGCCGACTTTATCCGAGCGTTACACATGTAGATGGGTAAATGATACCGTGTACTAAGTTGCTCAAATTGAATCACTATTGGGAATTCAATCACTACTTCAGTTAATCGTTTGACATCAACTGAAGTAGTGATTGAATTCCTTGGTGCTCAAAAAAGGTCAGCATTTTGAGTAAAATACTTGGTGCTCAGTACTCACAGTAGCATTTGCCCATCTTTGGTTACACGTAGGAGATCCAATGGCTCTATCTAATTCACTCTCCCTAAATTAGTATCCCTTAAAAAGAAAATTATTTTTATATTGGTTATTTCATTGTTTAACATCACTGTAATTTCGGATCTTAGAGATAATCTGTGTAGGTTTGAAGTATAAATAAGAGCATTTCTAGATAATATGGTTGGATGTGAGAGGGCTATTGCAGTGGCTGCTTACTGATTAGATATGACTGAGTTGGGTTTGTATGACCGATTCTCAACCTAGTTACGGCGACCTCCTCTCTGCCATTAGGGCTGTTTAATATGATCCAGGGCCTTACTGATTATTTAATAAAATTAAAATTAATAAATTTCCTCAGTGGGCTATCATGCCACATGGACTGCCAACTATCTTTAATTTCATTTTTTTAAAGAAAAAACTCATTTCTGCAGGAATAGAATGGCAGTACTTCAGTCTGGGAGAGGGCATGCTCTTTGGCTGACACACAATTGGCAACTATTCCCAAGTGATTGGGAATCCATATAAAGTATGCTCACTTTCTCAAATTTTTGAGCATATTGAGAAACTTTTGAATTATGTAATTTTTATACTTTTATATTACCCTTTCAATGTGCGCCCTTGAGCGTTTTGAGCTGTCCGACCAAATGGAAATTTAATGTTTAATTTAGTATTAATAGACATTATAAAGGTTTACGATTACAAATAGTCTTCAAAAGTAAAAAAAAAAAAAAAAATAGGAACCGGCTTTTGGACCATGATAGCAGTTCTGTAAGAATAGTTTTTTTTAGATTTTGATACAAAGATTATTAAGATTATTGTTTATGAGCACTTACAACTTCAAAAACCTCCCCAAAAAATGTTTGTTAGAATTTATTTAATGAGAAATATTACAATTTGCCTGAAAGGGCATTGATAATAGTGATCAGAGAGCACATTCAACAGCAAAATAATATAACTAAAAGTAAATGTATATAAGTAAAAAATAAAATAATCCCAACTTATATTCAAAAATACTTTTATACAATATTCATTAACTCATGGAAGGAAAGGCAGGACTCTAGGAGATCCCAGCGCAGAATTGTTATAACCAGACATACATGGCTAAAATAACATATATTCATAGTATATATTATGTTGCATTCTTATCTTCATGTGTGTAAAATATTTTTTTTTTTTTTACAGGTTAGTTTATCTTCCTACAATTTGAAAGTGTGTAAACCAATCAGACTGTATGGTAAGTTTTTTTTAATTTTTTTGGTAGAAAATTAACTGTATTTTTTTATGTACTGTAAAATTCTAATAGATGAGTTGGCTAGCTCAGTAAGGCACTATTCTCCTATGATCTGGGTCAGTTATCGGCTATGGATCGCCACTGGGATCGAAAGCCCATATATAGTGGTTATTCATTAATTATAAAGGAAAAGGATTTGTCTTAATAAAACTTTTTAGAGTATTACTTATTATGATTGTTCATTCTGTTTCGAATATTGACGTAATGAAGTAAGCACTTACATATTTTCCAAAAAAATTAATTATTGAATTTTTGCAATATACGGACGATATATAGACAATGGCATTGACTTCTACAACTACAATCCATGGAGAGTCTACTGGATGCGAGAATCTTGATTGATGGTTGTTCAGGGAGGTGATTTCACCGAGATCACTCTCAACCATCAGGTTCTTCTTCTTAATGTATTAAATTGAGAATAACCAGTTTATAGAGGCTGTGTGTGACCCAGAAGAGGCTACTGATCCCAGGAGCAATCCACGCCTGATGAAATAGTACAAATAATAAGAAAAATTAAGAGTCTGTAACAGCCAGATTCGAACCTGCGATGTTCAGCACAAGAGTGCCTTACTCACTTAGCTACCCCGCTCCTAGAAAATTATTTAAAATGTACAATTATTTCACGGTCCATGGTTTTTATTCTTTATATATGGAACATTATTCTATGCCTTGCCATTATTAAGTAATTTAAAGAAATGCTCTGCTCTCTACCATTTCTTATATTCAATATAACAGAAAGAAAATCCTATCCCATATAAGATAGCAATGGAAAAGAAATTAAAAATCCAACTTTAATTTAAATATTTGTTAAATCAAATGTCATAATTTGAGGATGTTCCATTAGTATATTGATCCTTTCTTATTTTATTCTTTACAAAGTCCTCCGTACAATAGTCGATGCTCCCTTCTATGTAACCAATAAAACCCTACATCATGACCTTAATATCCCATTTATTCTTGATCTTATCCCAGCCAAATTTCACCAGAACCTTTCTCATCACCCAAATCCCGTTGTACAATCCCTATCAAGCACCACCCATCCCTACAATCCCCTTCGTAGGTTAAAGCGGCAGTGGCCACGAGACCTTTTGTAAATATGGATATTTTGGAGTTCTAGCAATGGCCAGATTCTCCAATCAAGTCATGAGTGTCTGTGGCTGTAGCGCTCTTAGTCATCCTCCGCTGGTTTTAAATACCAGTAAAGTGGCTGAGGGAGAAGGGTAGGGATCTCCTAAGCCTCCCTTTTCCCTCAACATGTGGAGGGGACAGGATTGGCTCGGAGATCACCTGGCAAATTGTAAATAATGTATATAGGTATGTTTTATATAAGATGTTTCTTTTTCTTTTATTTCTATTTTTATTTACTTATGTGTATATGTATATATTTTTTTTCTTTACTCTTTTGTTCTTTTTTCTTATTCTTTTGTTATTACTTTATTTATTTATATTTTTGTATATACGGTATGAATGCACTCTCTGAACTCTATTATAAGTGTCCTTAAACTGTGACAAATTGTAATATTTCTGAATAAAGTGTTTAATAAAACTAAAAAGACTATTCTTTACATATATTTGACGAACTGTTCGTCACAATTGTTGGCCTTATCGTTATTGAACTTTCGGGTTATTATTTTTAAGTATCACCACTG